AACCTGCAGCATCTACCTCACTTCATTAAACTCCGCAGCTGCGCTGCAGTGAAAATCATTGCAAGTATGAGGACGACACTTCACCATTGGTATCTCCAAGAAACTCATTTTGGATTGGTTGAGCGAGTCATTTATCCAATGATGCAACAGAAAGCAGCAATCCAAACAAGCGGTCATCGAGGAAGCACATACAAAAGCAGACTCAAGGCTGCTCAATGTCAGGCATGCCTTCAACTCCTGTTATTGGCAGATACTGACGGGCATGTTGGAAACCCCGTGGCTAGTGTTGCGTTCTCGCCGATTTCTCGTTCGGGTGAGCCCTCAGTTGCACATGCGGATGCAAGCGCACGCGCGAGCTGGGCTGTGGCTTTCACGCTCCAACCACCCGGATCAGGTCGCACTGGTTCGTATCGTTGACCGAGCTTCATTGCTGTCACGAGCTGTCGATGCAATCGCCTTCGCTTACACAAGGGGCCTCTGACAAGCGATTCTGGAGCTGCCCCGTCTCAAGCGGACAGCATGGACAGAACTTCACGCCTTCATCTAGCTGAGAGTTCACGACAGCCAATTCAGCGGTCAACAACCGAATGAGTTTTGTGCTCGCTTGGATGTGAAAGCTCCGCAAGACTGTCCTTTGCTCGACGCTCCGAGCAAGGCCTCCAGGGCCGCTTCCAAGTACCTAAGTGAGCTCAAGTGCATTCAAGTGCACACGGCCCGCAAGGCACAGCAAGTCACAGCAGTGCCGTCTCTTAGCCGTCTTAGCCCTTCACTCCAGAAGGTGCAGACAACTGAAGTGCCTGCTTCTTGGACACCTGCGCGTCTCGGGAGCATCTCAGAAAGCATAATCTATAGAAGCAAACCGGGGTCAGCAGGGGCCTGCAAGGTTTGCACCGTCTCTTCATCTGTCGTAGCCCCCATGCTGCAGGCTACAGTCTACATGACGACCTCTGTCCTCAGGCGGCCTCTGTCCAAAGAAAACGGCAGTAGCTGCTCTGGTAATCAAGACGGCAATAATGACATTCTTCTGACGCCCATGCGATTCATGTCATTGAGCCGAGAGCAAGTTGGAAATGCGTCCGCACATATGCGCACAGAAGAAGAGGGAGGAAGGAAGGAAGGAAGGAAGGAAGGAAGGAAGGAAGGAAGGAAGGAAGGAAGGAAGCCTTTTTTTTGGCAGGAGCGCGAGGGGTCGTGTCAGGTGGCTCCGAGTCGTCGGCCCTCGCCTCGAAGGCCAGGTGTGGCCAAAAGCAAAGGGCGAAAGGGAGCGAAAGAACGAAAGCGGCGCACGCGTCACATCCCCTGGGCCTTCGAAGGCCGTGAAGCTCGCAGCGCTCGCGCCTGCAGCGACAGCGCGCTCGAAAGGGCGCGCCGGAAGACCAAGCCCGTCGCCTCCAAGCAGGCTGGATCGTTCCGTGTAGCGGCCTTCGCCTCTGAGCAGAGAGACGGAGAGCGCGGAGAGCCGAGAGCGAAAGGGCTTTCGTCTCCTTCACGATCGCGGTACCCCGGGCCCGGTCCGGGCAAAGGAGATGGCTCACCGCCTTTCCGACAGGGAATGTGAAACGGGAATGTGCCTGGTTTGATAAAAGCTTTCAGCACGAGTCCGTTGCACGATTGCCAGCCTACACAAAACGCCAAGGACTGAAGAAGCGATGACCACCTAGGACCTAGGACCCTTCCAAGCAGGAAGAGAATGAGTCAAAAGCAGTGGACACTCCGCAACCTCTGGCAAATACGAAAGAATCGCATATGAGTGATCGGTGCAGCAAGCCAGTAACCTCAACAAATAAATGGGGGGGCAACTCTTCAACCTGCCAGGAGGGAAGACTCGTATAACATGATAAGAAACCAAGCCACTCCCATGGCACACCCAACATTAAACACAGAGCCCTTGCACCGTTGCCCAGAGCGCGCGCGAGATCCGACAACCGCCACGAGCACAGACGAGAACTGGAGTTCCGTGAGACTGGGGCCTGTACCACTAGCATAGTCCTGAAACAGCCACCTGCATTGCATCTGCATGCACTGCCATTGCCGCAATCAGCGAAGGCAACTCTCAGCGCGCTGCCATGCCAACGGAACACCCATAAGCGTCGCAACAGGTATGGCCAGGGCCAATCCGTTCGCGACGTTGTACCTGGAAACGTCGACTGCCAAACCAAGCCCAACGTCAGTTATGAATGGATGCGTGTCACAGACAAGCGCAGGCCGCATTGAGACAGGAGCCCTTCGATTTCAAGGTTCAACGCGAGCACAAACGATCACGGTGCCCACCGTTTCTTTACACATCTTTACACTGAGCGGCTATGGCGATTGCACAGTAACGACGGCGGCGGCTCCCAAGCAAGGTAAGCCCATGGCTCGGCTTTGGCGGGAAAAGGCGCAGGGCAGAGCTTGGATCTCTAGTTTTTGACAATTCCAACATCCTTCGGAAGTTTGAATCCGCGACGATGCGCCCCGAGTCATGGGCCTGGGGTTGGGGACATGGGTGGGTCCAAGCGTCGCCACTGGGCTCGAGTTTAGAGAGCTCGAAGTTTGGAAAGGCCGATGGGTTTTCACCATAAAAAGTCTGAGGCTTGGAGTTTTGGAGTTCGCATGCTTCCGTTTCTGCACTGTGAAAGTCTGGAGCAAGAAAACCCTGAACTACAGACAGTTTCGAGATTGAAAGCACGCAACTTGGGGGAACGTGTCTCGTGTGCCGGGTTTGGGAGCCTAACTAGATCTATCGGACAGGGAACCTTGGACTCGGGAATGTTGCATCGTTTTGCGCCGGTCAAGGGTCTACAGATTGAACATCGAGGCTTCATGGCTTCAAAGCTTTCAGTTTCTTCGGTTGGTGGGCTCTTTTGGATTTCTGCTTTGCCTCCGTGCTTTTCTGGCTCACCTTTTGGTTTTGGATCTTCAGCTGTTGGAGTTCGGGGAGGCGAAGGGCTGATTCCATGCTGGTTGACGAGGTTTAGAGACATTGTTGACTCTTGTGTTGCTCTTTTTCGAAAGCCCGCGTGGGTACAGCGCGACACCTTCCCCTATGACCCCCAGCCAACACGTTCCTGAGCCCAGAACCCAACAGCATCCCAACGTCCGAAAGGTCCAAAAGGTCCGAAAGGTCCTGTCGTCCGAAAACCCCAAACCCAAGTTCCGGGTCACTAGAACCTAAACCCTGGATACTGGACTCTAAAGCCCAAACAACCGCTACCCCAAAAAGCTGCTACTGGCCCCAGTTCAGTATGGAGTAGTACATCTATAACAGGAGCCGTGTTAAGGGTATGAGTCTTGTGCGGACGAGGATGCCGAAAACACACGTACTCCACCAAATGGCACGCGTTTTGACATTTCAATTCATACCTTCGAGAGCTTTCTCGAACTACGAGTGCAAGCTCGGAACTCGGCGGAATTTCGAGCTCGACCCAATCCTGCGAAATTAGCCTAAACTCTCGAACCTTCGAGCTGGAACGCCCTCGCTGTATGGGGCACTCTGAAGAAGCCTTTGAGGAGAAGAGCGGCATTCTGTTTTTGACCTTGCCAGGGGCCCCGGTGTCTGCATGAACATGACAGTCTCAGATCTCAGAAGCACACCAGGACATCGATCAGTTTCACCAGATCGAAAGCCCCTTGGCTTCCAAGCTCCAGAAGGGCAGGTACGAGAGAGGTTTACTTTACTTTGATCCTCCCACCCCGCGGAATCATGCTCCGAAGATCTCCGAAGGCATCAACCTCACTGAAAATCTCAGCTTCGCGGCCATTGATGAGGCACATCATGCCCCAATAGCACAGCCTGGGCATCTATCTGCACTGATGGCATCTGCAAGATTCCTCGACTTGAGCGCGACCGCAACATGTCAAGACTTACGAGCTGTCGGACATACTCTTGAAAAGAGGTTGATGAACGACACCAAAGGTTTGCAACCTAAGCTTTCGTGCGCTTTCCGTTTCATCCGGTCTCTTGGCACCAGCTCCTACCCAACATGAGTGACGGGATTGTCTTGCAAACTTGACGCGCCGTGTTCTTGCAGGTCGTTCGGCTTGGGTGCATGAAAGAGTGGCGTGCAGTTATCCGAGTGTTGAGAGGAGCGATCGGGACGCTGGTGGGATGTCCCCTTAGACTGCAAAGTCGGTGGAACTGTTCAAAATCACACGCTCACGTCAGCATGGGGCTCGGGAGCTAAGGCCCAAGCAGCTGAATGTTGATCTCCTGGCCGACAAACTCTGGTGATAGGCCGATATAGGCCGAGGCCAACCGATTGCAGGGAGACCTCCCGAATCCCGAAGTAGCCCACTGCAATCATGATGGCCTGAAGCACCAACAACATCCAAGATTTCCCATGCAAGCAAAGCTGTCGAGCAGCAGGCCATTAAGAATGCACCCATGATGTCCAAAAACAGAACCTTTGGACAGCTTCTGGTGGCTAGAGAGCAGTTGCCTGTCCTGTGCTGATCTGAGTCGAGCACTATTCGAACCACACAAAGTAGACCTCTGGCTATCTAGGGCTGCTACTCGTAAGGCTAAAACTGGGGCTCTGCTTCTGAGGATGGGACTCTGGAGGAGCAGGACGAACTTCACCCACGGGCGCCTCCGGAGCGCGCAGAGAGACCGAGGAGAGAGTGCGAGCGAAGTCTCCTCGCCTGGACAGGGCGTAGGCCGATGGCGGGCCGCCCCTGCAGATGGGTCGATGCAGGAGGCAAACGATGGATCATGCGAGGGCCACACGTCGCTCCCATTGCTGGCATTGGAATGATCATGATGTCACAGAACCACACCAGCTGTGATCAGGTCTCGGATGCTGACAGGATCTCTGTGAAGTTTGAAAGGATCTTCCGAGACTGATCACAGCATTGTGTGGGTAGACCTTGAGATGCTGCGAGCCCAAACTGGCACCCTGCCGCAATAGAGTGGAAAGCAACCGGGGACCTTGCTTATGATCATCATGCATTGAAGGCAAAGTTTGCCGTCTTTTTCCGGCGCTAACCAGCATGTGTTGGTCCATCCCAAGATGCCAGCGGCCAGAGCTACCTCTGGCAGTCTCTGGCACAGTGGGCTGGTGGGTGCAAGCAGTTGTAGAGCCTTGCGTGAACCTATCTTTCTGCATGTTTCAGATGCAAACGTATGGCCTCAAGGAGTCCCACTTCCTTGACACTCAGTTGGGGATTCTTCCTGGATTTTGGAATTCAAACGGCCCCGCATTATGGAGATTGATTGGTCTGCGTGCACCCGAGTGTGTTTATGTTTGCACTTTCAGGTGACTTGCCTTGGTGGTTGGGACGAAACAAGCGACCCTTTTCGGCTTCTTCGCCATGCTCTGCATGAGAATTGCCGGAGGCATCCTCTTAGGAAGAAGGCAAACCCGGCCGTTCCCAGATGCATCACAGTAGACGTCCATGCTCAAGCCGGTCTTTAACCGAACTCGCCGATGGACATTGGACCTGACTCTCGCAGCTTCAAAGCACAGTGTGCAGACTTCAGACTCTGCAGCATTCGGCGATGCTTGAACTAAGCACGGAGCGATGATGTCTGTTCGGAGCAAACGCAGCCCATCGGACCCAGGATTTGTGGCCATCTAGCTTTCTCAGGCCTCAGGGCCAACAAAGTCTGGCCGGATGTACTCTGCCTGAAATTCATCTGCGGCACATTCCCCGTTGTCCGACCGCCACACCTGGCAAAGCAAAGTTCCCGTTCCCAGACTGGTGTTCTTCCGTTGCCCTTTGGGTGCCCAACCCTGGCACTGCCGTCTTTGGAAGCGGTCACGACCTCGATTGCAGCAGAAATTGAAGATATATTGCTTTCAAGCAGAAGGCAGGTTACTGGAGTCACGTTAGCAGCAAAGTGGCAAACTGTTTGATTTCGAGCCCAAGACGCCTATCGGCAACAAATGTCTCAGAGCTACTTTACTAGACATCACTGTGCTAAAGACAGGCAAATATACAGAAGCACATGACATCTTGTTCCTACTCCTGGTGATTTCAACTCGGCTACCTTTAAGTGGGACTGAAAGTCAGATAACCGTTAAGTGACAGCTGAACTTCCTCTCAAAGCAACAGTCCAGCGCTCCTGTCGCTCGCAAGTCTTGGGAAGCTGTTTCCACTAGCCGACACACTTTCACGTAGGACGATTCTTGATTGATCACACCTTCTTTACTTTCTGAAGCAACCTCCGTTCAGCAATCGCGCCACCGTAAATTTTCGACATGTCTCGATCTGAAGATTTCTCAGCATTCCCTCATGCTTCCAGGCTTCATCTTTTCTTGCTGCTTTGAGCAGGTTGAAGAGTCTACAGTGCTTCGCAAAGCTTTGCGGACAGCCACTGAATTTCCTCTAAATGTGTGGATGGAAGCCAGAAAGCTGCCAGGTTTCGGGTTGAGTAAGAAAGCCAAGCATGTTTTGAGGTAGACACGCAGCGTCCATCAGCAGAGAAAGCAGCCATACGCAACCTGACAGCAACGTCCATCGACAGCCAGTGTCGTACATCAGCTTGCATCTCTGGGCGGAACCAGTCTTCGTGGCCGGCAAGGGAGAGCAATGGGCGACCCGTGACGGCACTCCAGGTCTTGGCCTCCAACGGCAAACGACAGACTCTGAAGTACCACGTTCAACGCGTTCAACGGGCCCATGCCATCCCATCGCCAGAAGCCGTCACGACCTTGTGGGAAAGAACTGATTTCAGCGACATCAAACTTGCACAAGTCTTAGTAGGCTGATTCGCTCGGCAGACGTGGAAGATGACGATTACCTAACTGTTTAGCTGCGGCCTTTGGGTTCCATGTTTGCGAACACATGAGCCATTTCCTGTCGAAAGGTCGCAAAGCATTCGCAAACCTATACTGTCGTGGTTTGAGAGGAGACGGACTTTCCAAGCCGGAAGTTTTACGAGCAAATCTTTGTAATTCCGAACCTGTACTTGAACTTGGCAGTTGAACTCAGCCAAAAGAACATGATATTCGGCTAGCGATCAGCGCTAAGTGCAGATCCTTGAGGCTGTCAGGTGAGAATGCGGCGCACCGCAACCAATCATCATGACCTGCACTCGAGTCTTCCCTAAAGGCTTACACACCCTGCTAAGGCAAACATCGGCCTGTGATGACTAGTTTGGTCTGACCGGTATGAACATCAGTAATCCTGCAAGAAGTGCATGGAGCAAAGAAGGCTTCAATGTCGCAGCTTCGCTTCCTGGCCGACTGATCCATTGACGCTGTGAGCAACAGGTTTCCGTCATGGGAAAACTGTACGCTAAAGACCTGGCCAGTCTCCTACGAACAGGTGAAAGGAGTGGGATGTCCAAGATGCCTTCATGTCGTGGCCGGACAAGACTTTTACCTGGCTCCGTGGGACATCGTGGGACGTCTCGTTGCGATGTCCTTTCTTTTCTTGGTGTCTGGCTCGCTCCAACGTCTTCGCACTCCAGATGGACACCTTTCTTTGGCCGCCGGCCCCCGGCTCTGCAGATTTCAAGCTGTGATTTTGGGGAGCCGGCTGGGCAAAGGGACTCAAATGTCGACACGATTTGGGCACCGGGACGTGGATTTGTTGGGACACTGCTCCCAAGCCGAAGAAATGCCGAAAACTGAGCTTCGAGGAGCGGCAGTCGAACGATGCGCTTAAGGCTGCCGAGGCCTCGGAATCGCTGAATGAGACGAGATGGGAGGAGTGGAGTCGGACAATTCTCGTCAATTTGCTGATGCTGTGCTCGATCGAAAAATCGCAAGGCGGGCTGCACACGGAAGCAACGACATGCAGGAGCTGGAAGCTTGTAGACGAATGGCAATGACAACATGCTCCCCCGGCAATCCGCTCCAGGAAGACGCAACGGTCTCACGTTGAATGCCGCAAGCCGCAGACCCGCAGCAACGAATTGTTAACTGGTGAAGATTTGCAGAAGACCTTTTCAGTGTCTGCTCGGATACGAGATGCCCTACAAGACTTGGGTCGCGTGCCTCGGGGTCATCGATTGCCGTGGCTATCAGCTGCCCATCTGGCGAGTACACAGCGCTGTGAATGCTACGCTCGAACCTGGCAGCGGTCAAGTAGGCACCAGCTGCGATGCAGTCAACGTGTAAGCAATAGGCTTTGATAGGGTTGCCGCCAGGAGACCACTCCTCAGCTGATCTGCAATGCACATTTCAGCCACACGTTCCCCAGATGCTGTCAAACCCTCGGTTCACAAGTTCAGCTGCACGCGTTCCGGCCCTGTGACAGCGGTTTCATGCAGTGCCACTGCTGGCTGCGATTTGCGTCTGGCGTGCCGTTCGCTTCGTCCGTGTGTCGCGGTCGTTGTCGAAAGCAGCTTCTGCAGTTCAGAAAGTCCACCGAGTTCCACCGAGTTCAAGGTAATGCCTACAAAGATATGCAGAGTATGCTGGCATCTACTGCCTTTTCTTATCTGGCACTGAGTGCCAGCATGCCTCCCAAATTTGTGCATCTGTCGGTTTCTGAAGCCCACTAATCCACTAAGTGGACATGAAGGGTAGGTAATGTGTGCGTTCGTCCGAAAACACTAGTCCGTTACGGTCGGTACTGCAGCATGCACGAGCTCCGGAAAAATGCGGTAGAGCGGTCCCCTCTTTTTCGGATGGCTATAACCGTAGCGATTCGGTCCGGATAG